GATGTCCATTTTGGATAATGCAGGAGGTAGCATTTTTCGTTAGTATAGATATCCATTTCAGCATGTATGGACCAAATCCAAACTTTTGTAAAATCTTGCTAAGAAATGTTTTTGAAACTGTGTCAAATGCTTTTTCAAAATCAATTAATAGTAAAAGGCCGTTCTTATTTTGCTTTCTAGTTTCAAATATGATATCATATAACAGTCTTATATTTTCACTGATACATCTACCAGGAATGAAGCCTGTTTGATTTTCATGTATCAGATGGTCAAGTGTAACTTTCAGTCTATTAGTGATACATGTACTTATAATCTTATAAATGGCATTTAACAAAGAAATTGGGCGCCAGTTCTTCAAATTTTTTCTATCCTTTCCTTGTTTAGGTAAGCAAGTTATGACACCCCTATTCATAGTCAAAGTCAAGTGATCATTTTGAAATGATTGAATTATGTATCGAAGAATCCACTTTCCCCAATCCAGCCAAAAAAATTTGAAGAACTCGATTGAATAGCCGTCAATGCCTTGACTCATTATTTTTCATTGATTTAACTGCTTTAAGAATTTCACTGGTATTCATAGGCTTTTCCAGTTCAATTTGTAAAGGTTTTGGAAGGACAGGGTTGTTCATGTCTGATAACGTCTGTGTACCTTCAAGGTCATCGATACACTCTTGTTCAGAAAATAAATCCTGATAAAAGGCCTTTTGCTTATCTAATATACGTTTTCCATCAGTGATGATTTCCCCTGTATCAGACATAAGGCTTGTAATAGATTTACTAACAAAGTTTCTGTTTTCTAGATTACACATTTTTTTAGATGGTTTTTCCCCTTCCTCATACCATTGAAACCTATTTCTGATTTGCAATCCTTTAATTTCCTGTTCTTTAATATTTTCAAATTCTAACTTATGCTTTGACAAGTCAGCAAGGAGGGTTTCATCAATGTTTTGCAAATTGCCGCGTATCGTATCTTCTAGATCTTATATTTTAGGTCCCTCCCTTTCATCTGGCACTTCCGACATATTTGTCACACAATATCATAATTCAATTGGTTGGTGTGATTAAGTTGGTTAAGACAATTCGAATCCAGTCGTGACATAAAATATGTAATTCCGTTAGTCGCATCACAAAAATTAACGTTTCCGTTATTCCACGATTAGATTACTGCATACGTACAAATACCATGCCAGAGGAAAGTCTACATCTGTTTTAGATATTCTCTAAAGGTCAAGTCATACAACGCCATTCCTGGGCAAGAACATTACTGAGAACCATTTACTACTATTCAGAAATTACGAATGGCGACTGAGCTCCCCTTTGTAGTGGATCATGCGTAGACAGGACTGAATTGTGGGTAATATCGCTTTCTCACTTTCTTGCGCAATGATATCGCTTTCTCTTCTTGTGATATCGCTTTCTCGTCTGGCGTTATCGCTTTCTCGTCTCGTGCTATCGCTTTCTCGTCTCGTGCTATCACTTTCTCGCCTCCGAATTTTAAGGCGAGAAAGCGATGTCCCTAATCAGCCATCATACTTTAGCCAGTCTCACAGCAACTGTGTACAACTCAAGAAGTGTTGACAGGCGCCAGGTGACATTTGTTGCATGTCATCCTTATGGTGGTGTAAAGGTTTTCAGTTACCTTCATTGAAGGTCAGCTCCAGTGGAATGGTTGATAGTGAGGTAGTTTTACTTTTAATTGTACTCATGCAACCCTCTGTGTTGGTATGGTATGTTTTGTTTCATGAAGAGCTTTCGTAAGTAGAGAAAGATAAAGTTGGCGTTTATTCAACCAGGAGAAAATACACAGGTTGGAAGCGCTGTCCACACGAAATGTGGAGTTGCCCCAAAAGCAACTCCATTTCCTCGCTGGACAGTGAAAGAAGGACACGTGGCGCAAGAATAAAGGTAGGTTTTTCCTCGCATTTTCATTATTTTGCAAGTATATCAGGTTTTGCCATTGGCAGAAGGATCTTCGAAAGTTACAGATCTTTCTGTAATTGCTGGACACCCTCCATATTTATTGCACTTGCGCGTTAAGCGAGGGCACCCTCCTGAGTATCGAAACAAGATCGCGGAAAATGATCGTTTCAACACGAAATATGGCATCCTCATCAGCAGACACACCTTTTTTGGCCGTCAATTCTGAGATATAGTGATTTTAGGTCTTCATTCGCAGTTTAGGCTTTAATGCGTCAGTACTTTTCAATGATCGTCGAAAAATCAATCTGTACATTTTATATTGAGTTGTTCACGCTAAGCAAAAAAACTGTCCATTGGGTTGTGATTTTACTGTCCAGGAGTTGACAGTTTATAGTTTTAACCGTCAGGTGCTCAAACGTTATTCTAGAGATATCTGTTGTGAAGAAGAATGTTTTGTTACTGCCTACCTGGCGTATTTATTACGGTTTTTTTATCTTCAAGTATGATTGTTCACCATCATTGCAATTTGTACCCTGTCTGGGATTTATTGGATGCAAACCTATAAAAACACATATTAAATTGTTTTAAGAAAACATGCATTCGTTTCACTTCAGCTTTACTTGCCAGCGTAAACACGACATGAAAACGAAGCTAAACAAGGGTCACCTCCCTTTCAAGTCACTTCCGCGAGTACAACTGAAAGTAATTTAGTAAAAATCGTGACCGTAATGTATGTTCATTGATGATAGTTATAGATCAAGTACTTCGGTAGATGTTGTGAAAATACAAAGTAATCTGATTGGCTAATTTTTCCGGTCTTTATCGTCGGGTTCCCTCATATTTTCCCGGTTTCTACCCATCTTTTCCGATTCCTTCCCAACCAGTGGCATCGTGGCGGAGCGTTTGTCGGGCTCATATGGGCCAGGATTCAAACATTTTACAAAATCATGTACGATCAGAAGTGTATTAACAAATATACAAATATTCATCTACCCCAGGAATAACCAAGACCAGGTTATTCCAAAGTATGTACATTGTTCATACTATCATTCAGATATTAGTATTGCACATTCGGGTAAAGCACATCACTAAGCATCTGAAAACCAAGAGACATCTAACCAATGTTGAATGTGCGAAATCAAATACAAAATGACTTCCTTTGTTCCCACCGGTGGCACCAACAGCGATATAGACAAGTCAATGGCAGTTGTAAACAAAAATAAAGGAGAAATCCAAATGGCACAATTTAATGAGAAAATGAACTTGCCGATCTTATCTGCAGACCTTACGAAGACAGTCAAAACTGTGTTGAAGTTGATTGATAAACACCATTCTGGCATTCAGGAATGTGTCAAATTTTCTTTCTTTATAAAATAAGATTGTACACTTTTGACACTTCAAAATACACATTCAAACCACCATGAATCAAAACACTGATTTCACAATAGTCTCGTTTCCTGCTGACTGGGGCCCGTCCTATTGTGCAGCTTAGTACAATAACCAGTTCAGAATTTGAGACCGAAGCATTAAAGCTGCTAAACTGTGGCGATGAAGACTTGATAAAATATCAATATATCTAAGAACTGACACTTCAACGCGCAAAGGACACATAACTGCTGTAACCAGAGGATGCCATATTTCGTGTTCAAACGATCATTTTCTCTCATGACACTTATCGAAGGATTGCGCCTCACCTGTAACGCGCAATTGTAATAAATATAGAGGGTGTCAACAAAGCTATTGCTGAGAAAGATCTGTAACTTTCTAGATCCTTTTCTTTCCAAATCAGTCAAAACCTGATATACTTGCAAAAATAATGAAAATGCGAGGATCTGAAAATAAACCTGACCATAACTCTTGAAAATGCAAGCCACATAACTTCTTGTTCGTTTTTCACTGTCCAGCGAGGAAATGGAGTTGCTCTTGGGGCAACTCCACATTTCGTGTGGACAGCGCTTCCACCCTGTGAAATAACAAACAGCTAAAACACTTGGGTTGAGAGTAACCTCCCAAATTGGGCTGATAAAATTAGCCGATGCTTATGACAAGTATTGGCTAGAAACAAAGAAACATCTGTGAACAAGTCCCTTAAAAGTTTCGCCCCTGTACTGCAGAGAGCCCAAGGGTAGAGCCTGTACTTGTGGACAATGATGGAACAACATTTGTTACTTACAAGCGTGCTGTAGTTGCTCTTCTTGTTATCTATTTTTAGCTCTTTGAAACGAGGAACCTTGGACAATTCTGCATAACAAAAACACGTTACACTATATTTCGTGAGTTAGAATGTATTGTCTGTATATAAGCCTCACGTAAGGCCAAGTAAAATATTTAGGGTTTACATATGTCCATTCGAAAAAAATGTCGTTGAGAATATTTTGACATAAACACCAAGAAGAGCTATTATGCAACCACCATATAGCTAGAATATTGCTGAGTACGGCGTTACAAAACAAGCACCTGTTATGCACCTGCTGGTTGCCTTGCATATCGTTTCTAACATAATGAAGCGTAAATATTTTCTCCAAATCTATAAAGCCTTCAAGCTCTCTACACATCCACACAGACCTGTGATAGTCGGAAATGGTATTCATACACTGTATATAGATAGTCACGTCATTTCTGATGAAATCTCACCACCAGTGAAATTTATTTGCAATGTTTTGCCAGTTATTGTAATTACATGTCAACTTAGATATTAATACCATCAACAACTCTGTGAAATATTTGAAATACGTCTATTGTTCTCTCTCTCTCTTTATTGTTGCTTGTGAATGCTTTTTGTAAGCATGAAATTGCCTCATAAATTCCACGCTTAACGCTAAAATCTTATAATTTATGTTCATTTGTTGAAACCAAAGGCTCCGTGGTATATCAACACACTAGAGGGTGGGAGTTCATTAGGCGGTAGATAACCCCATGGCAGATAAGGAATACAACCGCTCAGGTGTTTGGGGCACTTGCTTTTTAGAGTACATTTTATGAAGCGTAGCAACATTTGTTAGAGAAATTTTGCGGTTAATCTCCATCATTGCTTTGGATTGGGAAGTGGTAAACATATTGACAGAATCCTTCGGATTCACCTGTAGTAAGAGTCTTTTCAACAGTGTCATCGCTATGACGTCACTATCAGCATACAACGGCGCAATCCCATGGCCGTATTCTGTCACAGCCAATCGTCCATATCCTAATACACGTCCTGTGTTGGAGCGAGCAATGAGAATATGTTTTGCATGGCGGATGATCCAGTTTTTGAAGTAGTAACACCTCTCGGTTTCACATACAGCTTCGTCGTATGCCTTCAGCTCAGTGAACATGACACTTTCGTATGGAAGTATTCTGATATCCGGCCTCACTTCCGCTTCCGGAATTGCTCCCAGTATTACTTCCGCTGATCCTCGTTTCAGGTGTATGTCATAGTAGAAAGTGAAGCCATGGGTTTCGTACAGATTAACGAAGGTGGCTGATATGGTGACGTTGGCGTCACCCACTGCCTTGAGGGATTGCGCGTTCACATCACGTCCGATTCCTTTGCCTCTGAGGTCTTTCCTGACGATATAGATGCCGCCAGCTACTGTCTCCTCCGTATAATACACCAAGAAACGACAAGCTGTTAAAATAATCACAATGCACACAGATAGATAGGCATAAGAAATTATTGAAACGTCTGAACTTTTAGGTCGATTTGTAGCCTAGTGGGTAAAGCGTTCGCTCATTACACCGAGGACCCTGGTTCGATTTCCCAGATGTAGGAAACCCATTTCGGGTTTCCCCACCGTGATATTGCTGGAATATTGCTAAAAGCGGCGTAAAACTATATTCACTATACTCTGAACTTTAAACCAACATTCAAGCTCAATTGGGATTTTGTTTAGAATTTAGCAGCCAATGCTTATCATTTGAACTGTACCCTGGCTTTGTGGGAGACTGATTTTGATGTCTGTCAAGGTTTATGTTGCAGACTTTATTAATAGCGAGTGAGTGAGTTTAGTTGTATGCCGTTTTAGCAATATTCCAACAAATATCGACCCGTGAAGATCCGGGGTAGAATAGGTCTTCAGCAACCCATGTGCTTGCCATAAAAGGCGACTATGCTTGTCGTAAAAGGCGACTAACGGGATCGGGTGGTCAGTTTCGCTGACTTGGTTGACACATGTCATCGGTTCCCAATTGCGCAGATCGATGCTCATGCTGTTGATCACTGGATTGTCTGGTCCAGACTCGATTATTTACAGACCGCCGCCATATAGCTTGGATATTGCTGAGTGCGGCGTAAAACTAAACTCACTCACTCACTCCAACAAATATAACGGGTACACCAGAAATGGGCCTCACATACAGTACCCATGTGGGGAGTTGAGGAGAGAAATAAAAGCAGATACAGAATAATTTAACAGATGGCGCTCCAGTGTTTCAAAATAAGAAGAAAGAAACATCCATGCCCCTTAGCCTGCTATACTTAGGACCAGAAATGGCATTCGTTGTGTCATAGTGCCATGACACTTACCTAGTATTTCTCCCGAGTCGGACTCCGCCACAAACCAGGCCCTAGAGTCCATGTCAAACGAACAGTACATGAAGTCTGTGGGAATTTCCCATTCCTCAATGTCTGTTAATTTCTTTATGGCGGCTACATCAGCTCTGGTTGCCCTCCTCACAGAGTACTTCGGAACGACAGCAGCCATGATGTAGTTGTGATAGACCCTGGAGGCTCTGTTATCAGATATTCACCATTGAAGTTGAACAAAAATGCTTGAAATACCTTTGAATGGTTTACATGTAATAACTTACGATATTACTTCTGTCTATGTGTGAGATTTTTTGAATTACCAACATACTGTGTTTTGTAACAAACGTAATAAAGATTTAATAACACTGACATAAATAATTATATTTGATGCAAAGGCGCGACGTATCACTTTATATTCGATTAGGTAACATTATCAACTTTAGATTATGGAAAATAACTAGTTATAATTCAGTAAGCTTCAAATTAGTAATTTAAATTATGTCTAATCTATTTGAGCTTGGATGTATAATTTTTTGTGTTTATACATTATGTTTCATTATAAGAAACACGACAACGTAATAATGCCTTAAAAGTAAATTCAAACTATTCTATTGTGTTTGAATTCTCTGTATGTCCTTGAAATTTCGTATATTGTTTCATATTTATTAGGAAGTTGAAGAAAATATAATCTTCAGTAACCTCTAAACCATTACATCTAATTCAATCAATAAGCATACAAAGTATTTTAGTATCCATTCCCAATGAAGAGTACCAGACACTTACCTCTGTGAAAACATCATATAATCCCCTTTCTCGCCGACATGTGTTCATTTGCCAGAAGGTACGAGGTCGCGCCAGCGTGTGTGTGTCACAGTGAAGCTTTAAGTACTTAAATACAAACGATTATTCAGGTCACTCACACTTTCATCATGCAGTGACGTGATTGGAATAGAAGGTGACATGGCTACATACTTATTTGTATGCATACGAACATCCTAACCCATCTCAACTCCCCAGCATCCAATGTGACGTATAGTCTGTACTAGCAACTGTCTGATCATTAGTGGCTTCCAGGAGTGGTGGGCTAGTCCAATGGTTAAAGTGTTCGCTCGTCACGCTGAAGGCCCAGGTTCGATTCCTCACATGGGTACAATGTGTGAAGCCCATTTCTGGTGTCCCCCGCCTTGATACTGCTGGAATATTGCTAAAATCGGCGTAAAACCAAACTCACTCACTCACTCACAAGTAGCTTCCAACATGCCCATCCATTCCGTATATTCCATCCATCTTGTTGAACTGAGGTAATATTAACCCCAAAATAAAATCCTCATGGGTAATGCGTCTTGAGAAAGGAGTTAAATTTCTGTTGTTGGTTAATGTCAAAGTCCCTTTGAACAAGGTTTATGGGATAGACCACACTTCCCACACAAACAATGCATGCATTGCAAACAATGCTGTTGCTACCCAATGGAAGGATCAGCGCGACATGCATGGCATCATGACCTAGTGGTTGCCTGCAACTATTTACCTCCGGGTAGGTCGGTATGTCTGTACAGTTAATGAAAGATCAGTTGTTTGATCGCCTGTTTTGGGTATTGATGAGAAGGGAATACAGAGGTATTTCCGTGTGCTTGATGTAGAGCTAGTGTTTTCAGACTTTAAGCCACAGCATGAATATATACTGGACAAAAATAGTCAGGGATATATGTGAATTTTTAAATTATGAATAATGATCTGTTTATTCATTAACACACTGATCTGTTTATTCCTAACTTAACACACCCGTCATTAGATAAAATATCAATCATAAAAATACCAATATGTCAGAGTTGCGGTCTTGTTCGTTCTTGTTCGTTCTAGAGAGCGTGACCCGTGAAGGTCCGAGTTAGAATTGATCTTCAGTAACCCATGCTTGTTGTAAGGGGCGACTAACCGGATTGGGTGGTCAGGCTCACTGACTTGGTTGACACATGTCACCGTATCCCAATTGCGTAGATCGCGATCGATCTCTTGATTAGTATTAAAAGTGGGATATCTGTACAGTAGACTAGAACCCATGTCTACCACTGAAAGTGTTAAAAGTACGATATATGTACATTTGATAATATACAATTATTGACTGGTGATGAGGTCAATACCTGTTTTTATGGACCCGCGAAAAGCGATATTGACCGAGTATCGCTTTTCAAAGGGTCCATAAAACAGGTATTGACCGAATTCACCAGTCCATAATTGTTTTATTATGTAATTACCGAAAAAAGCTTCTAAAAACCAAAACATGTCCAGTTAGCCAAGGAAAGTAATTTTATTTTCGCTACAAACCAATAACGTTATGTCAACAAAACTGTGACATGTAAACAATAGAATGACGTCATAGCTTGACGTCAAAATCTATTTCTAGTAACTGAAGTCAATATGACTTTTGGTCGGACCTGGGTTAGAGTCAATATGCTTTTCTGTCGACGGTCACGTGACCGCCTCTAGACCAATCAGGTAGTCGGAAAAATATGCTTGCATAATAAAAAATTATACAACCTAACAAAATTATTTGTGGTTAATACATCTGCAAACAAACAAGACAGAAATAACAATTGTAGGATTAGTCTTGTCGCAACTGGTTCTGCAACACACGAATAACGCCTCAATTTCTTCAGAGTGGCACGTTTCAACTGGAACTGAAACAAGAGAGACGAACTCATTATACCAGCAGATGTCGCATCACAATGGGTCAAAAACAAAACCTTTACTGCGACCATATCATTGTTATTGACGGTGTAGTGTCTTTACTTGAGCTCGAGCTAAAACATTAAAAGACCATTTCGTTATAATAGGAGGTAGTGCCTCCGAATCATTTCATTGTAATAGGAGATAACAAAACTGGAGCTCTAACGTCAAAACACTACCTCATTCTGTAGCCACCACACAGGTGGCATCTCCCAACTAAAAACATACAACACCACTTCATTATAAACTCATTTGGGGTATCTCGACTGGATCTTAATTTGGAAAATACAAACTCTTTAGAATAGGTGATGATGCTTTTCATCTGACGCTGAAAAATAAAAAGACTATTTCGTTATGGTTGAAGACCCTCCCAGCTGGGCCTATAACGGCAAAACACTAATGCATAGTAAACGTAGGTGGAATATCTCGACTGGGGCTAAAATGAGAAAGACAAGCTCATTACAACAGGAGTTGGTGCGTCTCAAATGGAGCTTAGAAATAAAAAGACTAATTCGTAATGGTAGAAGACTGGCCCTCTCAACTGCACCAATAACGCCAAAGCACTAACGCATAGTCAGCTTAGATGGTGTCCCCCAGCGGTAGCTGAAACATTATAAGACAAACACATAATAAACTCAAGTGGCGCGAGTCCACTGGACAAAACACCTCGAATGACAAACTCATTATAACACAAAGTGGCGCGTCTCAACTGGAGCTAAAACATAGACAGACTGTAACATATAGAGGGAAGCTGTGTCTCTCAACTGCAGCTACATATATGACATTCAAATTCAAATTCAACAGCATTGTCACTAAGGTGACATAATCCTCCGCCGCAAATTATCATATCAAACTTAAAAAGTAATGAAAGTGAAGGTCATAATTTAAGATGAAGTTAAATGTCAACAAAAAAATTACCAGTCAACCTCTCTTTGATATCTTTCTCTGTAGTTGTTCAAACGCACAAATATTTTCAAGACTCACTTTGACCTTGACCTGAATGTCTCAGTGTATGAAATATGCAAAAGTAGTATTAAAGAAATTGCTTATTGAAAAACATTCAAGGGAAGTCTTGAAAGTCTATGAAGAAAATCCAGTGAACTGTTCTTGAGATTTCTCGCTGAAAACCTTATCTTGCTGAAATCTTCAAAGTGTCGCCGTGACCTTGAAAATTATGTGAAGGTCACCACAATCAACTGGGCCCTGCGCCGTCCCTCGATGACGCTTGATGTCAAATATGAAGAAAATCCAGTGAACGCTTTTTGAGATATCTTGCTGACAAGGGTAAAGTCCCCTTGTGACCTTGAAATGAAGGTTTGTTTTACTGTGATGAACCTAGGTACCAAATATGAAAAGAATCCAGTCAATGGTTCTAAAGATATTCCAATTCGTACGTACAGACGGATGGACAGAGCCTAATACTATAGTACAACCAGAAATTATTGAGAATTTAAAGATTGTAATTTTTTTAATTTTTTCACTCATTACTCACGTATTAAATGTGAATATTAGCAGAACATAACTCGAGATTCAAAGACAGGTGAACAGTTAATATTTGGTCAAGGCAGCAATGCAGGCTTCAATGCGGCGGGGCATACTACTGATCAAAGAAATGAGAAAATCGTGGTCCATGCTGTCCCAATATCGGACCACCTCTTCTTTCATTTCAGCAATATTTGTCAGATTTTTCTTATTGACACTTTCCATCATAAGTCCTCAAACATTTTCTATTGGATTTAGGTCAGGGCTATAGCTTGGCCAATCTCATAATGTCATATTTGGGTCCGAAACCAAACCTGTGCATCCTTTGAACGATGTTTTTTGTCGTTGTCCTGCTGGAAAATCCAAAAATGTCCATAGAACACGTGAGCAGATGGAAGTAAATGTCCCTCGAGAATATCTGTGTACCGCTCACTGGTCATATTCCCTTCAAATAAACAGAGGGGCGTTGCCCCTAACACAGATATGCCACCCCTCACGTTAAATTTCGGACTGTACTTTGGGCGCTGATACAAAGGTTTTTCAGTTTGTTTGGTCCAGAATTTCAGTGTATTAGGAAACAGCCACACAGAACTTTCATCTCAGAAAATCACATTGTCCCAGTTAAAATGTCTATGCTGTAAGCACCAGTTCAACTTTCGTTCAGGTTTCATGATCGGTGATGGAATTCCTCGACTTTTCTGCCAACCCATTGCATGCAGCTCAGTTCTAATTGTCTCCTTCCAGACAGCCACAGTTCCCCTATCAATGATATCCAGCCTTACGTTTTCAAAACTCCTTCGTTTGTTTTTAGAAACAAGAATACCAAGCCGCCTCCTGTCACCAACAGTCAATTTTCTAGGCCTACCTGCGCCTCCCTGGTGCTCAATGCCATATCCATTTGCAACATTTTTCAAAACACGATAAACAGTGGACAAAGGGATGCCTATTCTACTTGAAATCACTTTAGCTGAACTGATGTCCTTGTTATAATACTCTAAAATCAACTTCCTC